TACTGATTATTTTTCTGATCAAAAAGTTTATTAGCAGATGGTAAAAGATCTATTTTATATATATTTAGCAGAAAATTAATATTGAGATTCCTCACAAAGCAAATCAGCTTGTCAAAGTCTGTAGATAAAAATACCTCTATACATAGATCTTTAAAGAATACTTTACAAAATGACTTATCTTTCTTCTTCCAGAAAACTGCCAAGTCTATTTTATATCTTGATTTAGATAAAAAATACTTTCATCTGAAAAAATCATCTTGTTTCAGTTAAAGTTCCTATATTTTTTTGTTGATTCTAGCTATTTTTATTGATATTTTTCTGTAAGAAGAAATTTTAAAAGCTTATTCATATATTTGCCTTTCTCTTTATGAAGATGATATTGTATAGTACATATACTAATATTAACATTCTACTTAATTATTTTTTTTAAATTTCTGGGATTATTATATCAATTTTTTTTGCAAGTGCTACTATCTACTTGTCTTATTGTTAGATAATCACTCTTTATCAGTCTATCTTTGATTTGTCACTCAAGTCTTGGTTTTTTCCCTATCTTTGGATCTAATAACAAACTATTTTTTTATTACAGTGAACTATTTTAGCTATCTCATGTATTAACAGTTTGTGATCTTTTGGATAGATACATAAAAAGATAATTTTATATCATTAACTTAAATTTAAAGGTATTTTTTTAGTCTTTTTTCAAGTGTAATAGAGTTTTTGTTTTTTATTAATATATAATCCTCTAAAATACAGATGTAATCTATATTTAGACTATATTATATGCATACAAAATTATAATATTATGTATGTAATTATTTGAAAATTACAAGAGAGAGGATACTTTTAATAGATACTGTAAGTATTATATTTACAAGATATATAATATATAGTAATAATATTTATAAATTATAAAATTAATATAATCAAGTAATAAAGAAAGTTTATAATATATATAACTTAAAATAATACTATAAGAAATAATATTTTCTAAAATATATATTAATATTTTAATTATATAATAATTAGTATATTATATTAATAAATATTAATTAATTATTATATAAAATAAATATTATTTAATATATTTATCTTCTATTATTTCAAAAAAATATAATAATATAATGATTAATATTATAAAGAAGTTATAGTTTTTATCTTGTAATATATTTAATTATTATGAAAATATAATTTTAATAATATTATTAATTTTATAAAAAATTAACTAATTCTTATTAAAGAAAAATAAATAAATATAAGTTATTAATTCTGATTTATTAATAAATAATATAATTTCAATTAAATTAAAACTAGAAATAATAATTTATAATAAAGTAATTAAGATCAGTATTATTAATTCTAAGATAATAATATCTTGAATATTTTAAGTTTATATTTATATAGAAAAATAAAATTAAGTTAATTATTATAAATTTTACTTGACTAGATAAAATAAATATTCTTTAGCTATAATAATACTAATATCTTGAAGCTGATCTATAATATATTATTATGATATAATCAATAACTTTATATATTTAAAAAAAATCAAATAGTTAAATAATATTATTATAATTAATTATTATATTATTATTGACTAATTAGAAGTTTACTTTTTAATATAATTTTTAACTTCTTATTTTTTAATATTCTTTAGCATAATATTATAACTATATCTATACTTCTTATTTTTTTCATATTCTTCAGCATATATAATTATATTATACTCTTATTTTTCTATATTTTTTAATATATATTATTAATATTATAGATTATGATAAAAAGAAACTTAATTAATAATTTTAATAATTTTAATAGAGCTTAATCTATAAAAAGAATAAATATTACCATTATTTTATTAAAATTTATAAATTCAGAAATTGTAAAAAGAATTATCTAATTATTAATATTTTATAATATAACATAATTTCTAACTCTCTATTTTTTAGTATTCATCAGTATCATATTTATAACTATATCTATACTTCTTATTTTTTCATATTTTTTAGCACATATAATTATATTATACTCCTATTTTTCTATATTTTCAAGTATATATTGTTAATATTATAGATCATGATAATTTTTCTCTCTATTTTTCCATATTCTTCAGTATATTTGTTAATAATATATATCATGATGACTTTTCTTCATTTTCCAGCATTCTTCAGTACAATTATTCATGTTTTTCAGTATAATAGATCACATCACTATTTCTTTAGTCATCCTTTATCACTACTTGATCTATTAATATAATAAAAAAATTTAGAATAGTATTACAGTAAAAGATAATCAAAATGTATAAAATGAATGGCTCTTGGATCTTTAAATAAAATAGAAATAAAATTGTATATAAAACCTTTTCTCCAAGAGAAATACTACTCCAAAGAATCATGATTCTAAATGTATTGGTTAGGTTCTTTTCACCAGAAAAGACAATGAATTGGTTAAGTCCTTTAGTTCAGAAAAGACGAAATGCATCATTGATTGAATGATTTGATTGATCCGAGTTTAAGGCTTTTATCTAGAAAAAACATAGTAATAAAAAGAATAAATTAGATAATAATTAATAATTAAAATCCCCTTTACCTCTTTCCATATAACCTACTCGCTCACCTTTGGAAACGCCCATATTGAATGATATCCGTAGATATTGGCATAGGATTTAGACCAACAGGTAAAATTAGTCTAATCACCCTCCCCCACCACCGTCACGTTACACAAATTTCCCCAAATCCACGTAATTCCAACCCATCTGTGACAGTGTTACAAAAAATTCCGAAATCTTTATGTGATTTTAATAATTTACATTATAAAAATCATCTATACGACATTTTTTACATGATTACAAAAATATTTATAAAAGAATCTACTGAAAATTAAAATTTTAAAAAAACGGATGATCAAATTTGAAAAAATTCGTAACTTTGTCTCGCCATATCTCGACATTCAATAGTCCAATTTAAACAAAAATAAAAGCATTAATTCGTCTAAACATATGAATCTATTATTTTTATTCAAATTGGACAATTGGAAGTAAAGATATCGCATCCCAAAGTTACTAAATTTTTTTATTTTAAATTTGGTCATCATCATAATGATTTAGACATCTTTTGACTTTGCAGAATTTTCGATTATTACTTGGAGAAACGCAGTAAATTATTGCGAAGAAATGCAGTAAACTGGACACTCTGCTACAGTAGTGGTCAAAAGTATCTGACCCCTTGTAACTTTTTAAATTGAAGATTAATTGTCTTGAAATTTTCAGCATAGATAATATAATATAAATCTAGATCCTATGAGTTTTTTAATACTTTATAATTATTCTAACAAAATTTAAATGAGAGCTGAATTTTAAAAACAATTTTTTACATTAATAAAAAAATATCAATCAAATGCAATAAAGAATAATTATATTAATAAATTTTAAATTAAAATTTTAGTAACAAAAAGTTTGACATAATTTAATAAGAAAGATATTGAGAAATTAAAATTAAAATTTATTAAATTTTATTATATGTATATAAAAAATAATTTAATACCAAAATTTAAAATTTAATTTTCAACAACTAATTTATTAAATTATATTAAATTTTTGTTATTACATGTAATATAAATATATAAATTTTAATACAGTAATTTAATTATTTTAAAAGTTTAAAACAAAAAATTTTTAGTATAAAAAGTTATAAGGGGTCGGCTACTTTTGACCGCTACTGTATATACATGTATCAGTGTAAGTAGAATCCAAATAATTTACATGTCTATATGCATGGGTTATTAAACGATTAGTTGAGCTAGTCATAATTATCTCGAATCGGGAACCTTTTACATGTCATGTATATGAATATTTCTGAATATAGTTATTAGCATATGCATTTTTACAGGGTAAATGCATGTTCTATAGAAATTTTAATTGCATTTAGAAATTATACGATTTCAAGGAATAGCATTTATCGCTACTCCTTGGCTAATTTTTCTAAAGGAATACAATATGAATTAATACAAGATCTCTGCGGAATTTTCAATCTAAAAATCGGATAATGTGCGAATGATGTTCCCGAATAACTTAAAACATGCCATTTTTTCTGAATTAGATTGGTCAATTATATAATTAAAGAATGTATCACCAAAAGAATCTTCTGCTATATTATGAATGATATTTAAAGAACTGGTAAAAATAAATTGGTGTATTCTATCAGAAATTATTCATCATCTACTCTATTTAAGAAAAAATAAATCAAAATTTTGGTTCAGTCCAGTTGAATTCAATTCTAAACCTAAAATTTCACTGAAAGCAAGCAAACCTCCAAAAAAATAATGCTTCTCTCACGCCTCCTGCATCATCATCAATAACAAACTTTGGGCTCGTATGCTACGCCACTTCTATTCAGGAAAAGCTAAAATTATGTCATTTGTGAAGCGTTGCCCTGCATAATTTGAGATTTTTAATGCTATTCACGTGGACTCTATAAGTATAAATTCTGATTGTTGATTTATTTCTATTTGCTTTTTCCGCTACGAATTTATATATGATTATCTCTAAAACTCTTCTTTCTAAATTCATTCGTTCGAAATTATAATTGTTTTTAACATAAGATATGCAAAACGGTAAAAAATCTTCTACCTTCCGACCCTTAACGACAATATAAGCGAGTCAAAATGATACAATGACGATTAACTTTTCAGGCTAAAGCAATATATCACAAGCGACAAAAGTTTCAGGAGAGACAACAATAAAAAAAAGGTTCGAGACTCCGCCAATTTCGCCGGGAGGGATTTCCGGAAGTTCGGTATTTAAATTGCCAATTAAACCCTAACAAAATATCATCGATGGAAATTTCTTTTCAAGCACCGCAGTTTAAATTAAAGTTCTGGTTAACACCAACTCCACCCAATGGAATGCATCAGGATAATCAACAGCAACACTACAGTTGACAGTACCAATAAATGAATTAAGCACAAATTATGAGCAATTGCACCATGATGCATCATCACATATGGCAACATTTTCTAATGGCCAATTTTCTGAAGTTTACGCATCTGAATATAATTTCTCTGTTAGTTCATCAAATATTAGCGCAAAGCCAATCATGTATCATCGCACATCAATTATTCCAACAATACCTCCACGTCATCATCATAATCAATTAGTTCCTGACGATGAGCAACTTTCGATAGCTAAAAAACAAGAGTTGGAGCGTAAGATTGCACATTCGGCTGTTGAAAGGCGTCGTCACGAAAAAATAAATGGTAAAATAGTTCAGCTTCAAAAGTTAGTTCCAAGTTGTGTAGATCAACTTCAAATTCATATCCTTCAAGGCGCAATTGTTTATATCTGTTATTTAGAAGGTTTACTCGCGGAAAAACGAAAACTCGAGAATAACGGCAGCAATAACGATAATAAAGATGACGGAATATTTGTGAAAAAGACAAAATTGGATTCCTAGATAATAATTATAATTGTAATTGTAATAGTGACTTTAGCAAAATCAATAATTACACTTATGATAACGATAATTCCTCATATATATGTATTCACAATCCATTAACTTTGTACGAAATTCTAATGATCCGATTCAAAAATCCACAACTCCTCACATCGTTCATTGTTGATGATAAAGAGAATTTTTCCTAGTGAAGTGTTATAGTTAATGACAAAGTGATCTGTTCTATAATAGTAACATGATGTTTTATTAGTAGTAGCGATGAAGGATAATTTCTTATCGACTATTCTGGACGATGGCTAGATCAGCAGAGTTTTCAAATATAATGAAAGTGTATCTCAAATGAAGATGAAACATTGTTTGATTTTGAGTTGTTCTAAGATGGGTTTTATAATATCATTATAAGAAAAACGAGAGATGCAAACATACCAGTATTGGTTAAAATTAAGTTATGTGTCAGATTCATTAAAGATAATAATAGCAGATTCACATTATGGATGGATTTGATAGTAATGTTATCATCAATTGTACCTATATTTTATGGAAGAAAGAATTTTTTCTTTGGTTATATTAAAAGAAATATCACAGAGAGTAATATCAGAGATAGATTTTTATGTCTGTACTTTGTTGATAATACTATTAGCTGAATTATTTTCTTGGTTTTTTAGCATAATAATAGTATCATTGAGAGATAATTATTTGAAAACTCGATGCAAAAGTGATCTTCTAACTTGTAATTAGAGAAAAAGATAAAATGAAGCCAGTTGCATTTTTCAAAGAGAAGGATTGGTCTCAGAATAAAGGCAGAAAAGATTTGCTATCAATTATAAATCAGAAGGAGCCAAGTTGGATTTGAATACAAGCATCAAATTTGTAGTTAGAAAAAAATGATTGTGTCAGAAGATGATAAGATGCTAGAAATGCTGGATAGATCGTCAATATTCATAATAATATCAGCTCTCGAGAAAGATTTGGATAGCGAAGTTGTTTCTTTATCAGATTATACAGTGAGTACATTTGCTGAGAATGATGTTATAGAAAGTGTTAGAGATGCTTATGATATAAGAGTTTTTGAAAGTTATCTGATTTCAGTTTTTTCATTTTGAAATTTTTGCTGATACTATTGAGAAATCTGGATTTGAAGTCAAATTAAGAGCGAATTTTTATAATATAAAAAGATGAAGGAGTAATTGAAAATTTGCTTGCTATGAAAAGATATCTTTAAAATATAGATAATAAAAGTAGAATTATTATTATTAAAGTATTTAAGCAGTTTATTGATGATAAGAGAAAAGAAGTGGATAGTATTCTAAATTTGCTGTAATTTTATAAAGAAAAGAAATTTAATAGTCAATAAAAGATTTTTAATCTGAAATTTTTAGTTTTTATTTATTATTCCTGATTAAATTTGAAAAATTCTATAATATAATCAAAATTTTTTTATTATCATTGAAATATAATCTGAAATTAATAGAATATATTTAAATTTTTTTATATTAACTTTTTAAAGTTTAGTCTGAAGTTAACTAAAATATAATTTGGAATTTAATTTGAAATTAAGACAGAATATAATTAGAACTTTTTTAGATTTTTCAGATTTTTTATTTTTTATTTGAAACTAAATCTGGAAATTTTATAATTTTATTAAAAATTCTGAAAAGAAATTAAATATTTATTAAAATATAAATAAAATATATATGTAGTTGCAACTTTTTTTTATTATTATCCGAAATATAATCATAATATAACTTAAAATTGGATGGAATATAGTTAAAGCTTTTTATATATAAAGAAAATTCTTTTATTTAGTAATAAAAATTATTGTATGATAATAAAAAAATTTAGAGAATTGTCAGAATTATTTACAGTAGCGCTCAAAAGTATTGCATCACCCGGACGATAAATTTCACGATTTAATAACGTTTCATATGTAATATCAATCAATATATAAATAGGCTCATTATAATGCCTATATATAGATGAAACATTGTATCATATTTATTTTTCATATCGTACATTTAAAAAAAAATAAACCATATTTTACATCAAATCAAGTGAACCATTTCTTTTGATCATTTTGATAAATAAAAGTAAAATCAAAATTACTCACTAAACTAAATAAATTTATGAAAATTTTAACTCCCAATTTTAATTATCACCTAGTATAGCCACCCTTCGCATTAATTACATCTTGAATGCGTTTCTCTATACTTTCAATTAGCTTAATTAAAAACACGTTATCAATTTCGATCCAAATTTTTTGTATCACATTCCAGAATTGATCTTGAGTATGAATATCAGTTGATAATATGATTTATTTCATTCCAGAGATACTTAATTGGATTAAGATCAGGTGATTAGGCAGGCAAATCAAGCAAACAGATATTATCATCAAACCATTCGTATATAAATTTTGCCATGTGTTTTGAATCATTGTCTTGTTGAAAGATAACATCATTTTTATTAATTTCATACCACTGGATTGTTCCTAAAAGGTCATCATTTAAGATTTTACGATATAAATTCTTATCCATATGACCATAAATGGTACAATATTACCAATGCCAAAAAATCTGAAGCAACCCCAAACCATTATATTTCCACCCCCAAATTTTACTGTAGGTTTTATGTGATGCTCTTTCAAAGATTCATCATCACATTTCCAGTAATATTCACATCCATCTAAATTAAAAATCATAAATTTCAATTCATCCAACCAGATGACTTTGCTCCAATCATTAATAGTCCAATGATGATATTTTTTCACAAATTTTAAATGTTGAATTCAATGTGTTTTTTGAGATATGATTTTTTTGCTTAATTCGTGAAGAAAAACCATTATGATGTAAAGTTCACTTTATTGTGCTTGTGCTGACATCAATTTTATCATCAGTTTTTAATTTTTTTGGATAGATGTTGCAATGGGAAAACTACCATTTGAAATTAGATGTATAATATTTCATTCATCACGTCCACTAAAAATTCTAGGATGACCTGGTTTTGGTAAATCTTTAAAGGTATCATGAGTATCTTTTTTTTGCTTTATTCTTATAATGGAGGATTGGGAAATATTTTCATGATTTGCAATATAACGGGAAGAATATCCTTCTTTTAAGAAGGGTATAAATTTGGGATCTTTTTTCGATGGGAATATGTGCCATAATAATTTTAATTATACGAGATAAAAGAGTGAATTCATAAGTGTATTTTATTTATAGGAGGTGTGTTTTGTTTTGTTTTGTTGTGTGTTTTTTATCCATTTATATATTTGTTTTGAGGGGGGAAACGATCAAAAGAAATGCATCATCAGTTTGGCGTAATAAAGTCCAAGTTAAGCAAAGTGGTGTTACATTTATTCTTTAAATTGTATGTGTTATTTTTAACTATATACGGGCTGTTTCATTTACCTGTGGCTTCTATATTGCTAAAAATTCCACGATTCGTTTTTTCGTCCTAGTGATGCATTACTTTTGAGCGCCACTCTAATATTCTCTAATGATAATAAATTATAATGATAAATAAAAAAGAATTATATTAAAATATTAACAATAGTAATTTAAAATTACAAATCGATGTATCAATACATTTTTTTCAAAGAATAACAAACCAAAAAGAGTTAGTAGCATCATTTAATGACATACATGTACGTAATGGAAATTTTACTTATTTATGCATATCTCTTTCCTTTTTAGTTTTTCCACCATTTTTTTAACTCTCGTCATCTCGTCATCATTCCTTTTGTTTACTGTTTCTTTTTTAAATTCTTTTGTTTCTTCTAAATATTTATATTTATTAGTAAAATACATGTATATGATTGAATGCCACAACACAATTTATCGTTATCGTAAATTGTGGTTCACCCACCATATTCTATTTATTTTATTTCAAATTAAATTTATAAAATATACAGAAATGTATAAAATGACAATAATTTCGAATTTAAAGGAAATAAACACCTCACCACCTTTATAGCTAAAAAGTAGTGCATATTACAGCAGCTAGTGAATTTGTATTATTTTCGCATCCGCTAAATTTTACATAATGTATGTATAATATATAAAAAACTAAGCTTGAGATTTTTTATTTTCCAAATAAAATTTAAAAATTTCCCCTTAAAACCTTTTCATGATCAACATCTTTTCTCAATTCGAATATAACATTGTAATTCGGCGCATCCAATTTGAACCCATTTGACACACCCTCTCTGTCTATTTCTTTAACGTCACCTGACGTCTTATCCATTTCAGGCGTAATAATAAATAATGATAGTGTATAGGCAATGATGGCTGATAATGTGGTTTCTGTAAGGCATTCATAGATAATCGTATTTGGTCCTTTACCAAACATCCAAATTTTAGCCGATTCAGGATTTTGTTTCAAGTGACCTTGTTCGT